GATTCCGCTATTTTACATATATTTACAATAATCTCTGGTAATTTGAAGATCAGATTTTAGTTTATATGGTATTATGGCATTATAAAAAAGGGGTGATGCGCAATTTAATTCATCAAAATTACGTTTAAAAGTTTGAATGCGTTTTGATTCAAACATGGTATATATTCCCTACTGTTGCCCAAGGTCATATGCTTCTAATTTTATTTTATGATAAAAATTTCTAAACATTTCTTTTAAATGTTTCTAGACACGCTGTAAGACTGCGTTATTCTCATTTAAATCAATATGCATATTTTGCAAAGTTTTGGAAGCATAATAAATTAGACATATCACCTTATTTGCCATTTAAGTTTTATTTTAGCGGCAGTAATAGATATTAATCAACCATACTAACGTGCTGGATTTCATTTTTTTTAAAGTTACATCTTACTACCAGTAAAAATTGAAAGAGGATCCCATCTCTTCACGCTATTTCCTAAATAAGCAAGATAAAATTTTTCACCCTATGTAAGCATAAAATAAATTGTTAAAAAACTTTATATTTTATTTTTTATACTTACGTCAATAGTTTGTTTTTTATTTTTAATACGTCATTTTATTGTTTTTATACGTCATTTTATTTTTATATTAAGTCAATAGTCTTTATCTTTTCAAGAGAGCAAGAGACTCAGAGTTTCAGAAACACCAGTACCGTGTATTTATTGTACACAATCCATATTATTATAACAGTGTGACTACTCTTTTTTATTTTCCTTTCAAGAAATGTCCCTCATAGTTCAAGTAACAAGTTTTCGCAACAAAATGTTGTGTAGCGATATACCATCATAATAGATATTGCAATGTGTATATATGTGTCGCATAAGGTTTGAAATATTGGAGAAAGTTGCAATGTGTATTTATGTGTCGCATAAGGTTTGAAATATTGGAGAAAGTTGCAATGTGTATATATGTGTCGCATAAGGTTTGAAATATTGGAGAAAGTTGCAATGTGTATATATGTGTCGCATAGTTTCAATTACAATAACAATTTCAATTACAATTACTGTTGGTAAGAAAACAATTACAACAATTCACGTTTGCTGTGCTGCTTTAATGCCCAAAGCTATTGATATTAGAAAACAGTCAGCATTAATTCTTGTTACATTTTATCAACATCAAAGTCTCAAATTTGTGGGCCTTAAGTCTGGTTCTTTCTGAACGATAGATCTTACCCGCAATACTGAAAACTCTTTCTACTGGTGCAGATGATGCTGGAATTGATAGCAGAGCACTTGCTGCTCGAGCTGCATGTGGAAACAAATCCTTATTTGAATTCCACCATACAAGAGGGTCAGATTTATACTCCTGTAATGGAGCCTTCACATAATTAATCAGCTCGTGTCTAAGTTTTAGCAATATGTCTTCCTTCTGTATCTCTTGTTCTTGTTGACCTGAACTTTTCATAAAACGAAAGAGGTTAACTTTCAGTTTCTTATTGTTTAGTTCCTCTTGTGACCCTTGATCAGGAATTTTTGCAGATGCAGGTGATAGTACAAGTACAGACAGAGAGTCAAGCTGATTACATTTACAGTGCAGAATTACAACTACGGTATTTTTGAAGTCTTGTACTTCATTTCGCATGCACCAATGCAACTTGAATCGAGGATCCAGTACTGCTCCTGTTATTTATAAGACATTGGTCTCATATTTATGGAGACGAGCATTGATAGATAGCAAAAGATCAGTGATCAGCTGCTTGCAATAAACAGAATGAATTGATTCTAGTTTAAAACGTAAACCGCGTATACTAGGAAGAACATTGGAGATTGTTACTCTGCCTTCACCCTGAACACATTTGGTCGCTTCTTCAAATGGATGCATTACTTCAACGTATTCTTTCAGTAATGTGCGCTCGAGGGTGGTCAATGTTCTGCTTGTCACAGGTCCCAGAAGACTTCTAACTGCTTCTTTCAGTTTATCTTCTGGCACTTTCAAAACTGACTGTACTATTTTCAATTGAGAGTTCCACCTGGTTATATAAGCTGACCTGAGATTGTAATCCATGTCGTGTAGAATTTCACTATAAACTGTAGACTTGCAAACAGAGTTTACTACTGATGCAACCTTGCCAATAGCATTTTCAACTTGCCTACAATTTTTCATACGGTCTTTGATAACCAATTGTAGTGCATGAGCGAAGCAGGCAAGTCTATCCAATATGCAGCTCAGTAGCTCTTTTGTAGTATCTTCATCGATTGCTTCTGCATCTGCATCAGATGTTCCATCATCATCAGCAGGGTCAATTGAATAATTTGATTCATTTTCTTGCTGCTGCTGCATAAACTGTGGCAGTATCACTTCAAAAGCTTTTGTCATGTTTGATGCACTGTCGCTAACAACATGAGATACTTTGCTCCTTAAGTGAAATGTTTCAATTACTTCGTCAAAGTTATTTATAATATTCTCACTGGTATAATGGTCTGAAAATTCTTTACATAACAGCAACCCTCTTTTAAGTTTCCAGTTTTCAATGTAGTGCACTGTAACTCCCAAAAAAGTAAGCATAATTCGGTTTGTCCATATATCAACAGTAACGCTCACTTTGTCTATACTACCAAATATTGCGCACAATTTATCCTCAATATATTGTTTACGATCATTTATTAGTTTTGATGACATGGATTTTCTACTTGGTAAATTGTAACGCGGTTCAAGAATGTTCATCAGGGCTGAAAACTCTTCACTTTCAACTAATGAAAATAATAATAAGTTAGGCAATAAGTTACCAGCAATAACATCAACTAGAGCTCTGGTTATTTTCAATTGACGCGGTTCTGAAAAATTAAATTTCATTGTTGTTTTATGAAAGAAGTTATCTAGAGAAATTGTATGGTTACTTCCTCCTTTGTTACTGTTGTTAACACTCCCTTCCTTACGCTTACGCGTTCGATATTCTGCATGTTTCAGAGTGTGTTTACGCTAAAAATAAAAACAGCAGAAATTACAGATTAATTATAACATAATTATATAAATATTACATAATCTGTATAATGTAGATTTGATATTTATAAAAATAGTTTGTTAATGTTTAAATAAACTATTTTTTTAATTTTGCAAAGCACACGTAATAATTAATAGCTATAATTGCATGGTATTGTAATATTGTTTCACTTACCGACAGGTAAGTACAAAGGTTTGAATTTGCCTTTATTGAGTATGAAACAAACTCTCCACATGTTTTGCATTTTATTTTTACATTGTCACCATTTGGTTTTGAGCTACCTTCATCAGTGATAACATCAGTTTCATATTATTCGAAAATTAAAGCTGTATCTGACTTACTTTGATTTATTATAGCTTACATGTAAACAGGAAAAAGATTTAATTAATATAAATAAACAGATTCATGAAAAATAAACGTAATTGAAATATTTCAATTACACCAAGGCAATTACAATTACAATTACACATGGGTCAATTACAATTAAAATTACATGTAATTGGTTAAAGAAATAAACCAATAATAATTACAATTACTTTATAAATTGTAATTATAAACAATTAATTAAAATTACAATTGTAATTGACCCATGTCTGATATATATATATATATATATATATATATATATATATATATATATATATATATATATATATATATATATATATATACATATATATATATATATATATATATATATATATATATATATATATATATATATTATATATATATATATATATATATATATATATATATATATATATATATATATATATATATATATATATATATATATATATTGAACATCGTATTAGCAATAAATTTGTAAAAAATTTTAATAAAAATCGCAATATTTTTTTGTTCTTGACATGTTACGTAGTCTCACTACATTTTCAAAAGATTTAATTTACAATTAAAACTCTGGCAAATAAATTTAAAAACTGAAAACAATACAGAGAAAAAATTAACGGACAAATAAACTTGTTACAAACCAATTAAAAATTATATTACAAATTATGACAAAATAAACTTCCTAATATTAAAATATTATTAATAATAATAATAATATAGTAAGTTAGATAGATAAATTTATAATATAATGAGATGTTTGTTTATTTAAAGAAGGATTTTCCCATTTATTATTTTCCATTTTATTTTTTCATATTGTAAGATTACGAAACATGTCAAGAATAAAAAATATTGTGATTTTTATTAAAATTTATATATATATATATATATATATATATATATATATATATATATATATATATATATATATATATATATATACAAATGCATTATGTTTAATATAATGATGTATTATTTAGACTTTTTTATTGAGACTTTTTCTTCAATTTTTACTTCATTTTTATTTTTATTTCGATTTTATTTTCATGCGCTTTACATATTTTTTTTTAAAGACTTATGGTTTATAATAATTCAAATAGACTAAATAACAGTAAAATATTTTTAACACCATCTGTACAGTCTTTTCTCTGAAACCAGTTATCATTCTTATGTTTTCTTCAACGATTTTTCTGCCCTTCTTTCCAATTTAAAATTATTTTCAGAAAAATAAAAACTTTTCATTCACATATGCTACACTTTTTTTTACCACAGACGAAATCCATGCACATATATAGATTATCAGTACTGCAGTCGTAAAAATACAAACAGGCTGGGCAAAAGTCTAATCTAACACTTTATACATTTAGTTTTATAAAAAAACCTTACAAACTAGATATAATAAAATTTTGTGTAAAATTTTTTTAGTTGATAAAAGTTAAATAAATTTAAAGAAATAAATTTTTTTTTATTTTTTTTTATTTTTTTTTTTTTTAAAGCCTTTCCACCTTGATATAATTTTATCATTTGAACTAATTGATTATTTGAATTATTGTAAAATTTTGTAGTTCTTATGTGATTATTTTAAAATTTTTGTTTTCAGTTGTTTCAAAAAGTAAATAGTATAAAAATGATACTTTGTTATTAAATATTATTTCGTTTTAATACAAAGATAACTTATTAAAAAAGATTTTACCTCTGAACATGGACGAACCATGGTGGAGAAGTGATAATGTATGCAAAGCGATTGACAATTTTCACACCAAAATGGCATCAACACCAAATAATATGAAAGCAGCTATTACCGATTTGAAACAAAAGTTATATCTGCTAGAAACTTATCTTAAATACAATCACAATTTATGTGATAAAATTGAGTATACAGGTAATATTACTTTGTATGTACAGTTCCTAAAAAAGAATAACTTAAACTCTGTCACATTATTATATTAAAGAAATGAAATTAAAAGATTGAAAATAAAAAATATTTGATTTTAAAAGTTTTTTAAAATATTTGATTTTAAAAAATTAAAAAAAAAAATTTGCTGAGTAAATATTCTTTGTTTTGTACAAAGCAGTTAAATCAATACATCTTTACAACATGATCAATACAAAGAAAACAAGTATTCCGGGAGCATTCTGGGTATGCTCGTGACAATTATATTAAATTTTATTTATAAACTTCACTTAAAAAGAACTTTTTAGTTACAAAGTTAATGTATACCACGTAGATCTTTGCTTCACACTGCTGTATATCTAACGCTTGAGTAAGAGACATACTCTGCAGTAAATGCTACTTCAGCTCTTTGAAACTAAAGTAAATCAAGCTTGTCACAAACTCCATTCATCACATCGATTCCTTTATTATTTATCAGTCTGTTCATACGTTCCACATACATGTAAATTGAACTCCACCTCGTATGATTAGGAGCAACAAACTGCTGTAAAATTGATTCATCAATAATATCTGCAGATGTATTACTATGTGACTGCTTGTTCTGTGAAGCCTAACATTTTGCAAACGTTGACTGATCAATAGCCTACATGTAACATAAACCCTAACAATATATATTATATATAGACCTATAAACAAAGCATATTCTTATAGACCTATATGAAATATATACTATATATAGGCTATTTATAATATATGTTGTTATAGACCTATATATAATATACATTATATATAGACTTTATATTATATATAGACCAATGGTCTATATATAATATAAATCCTAACATTTTGCAAAACGTTGGCTGATCAATCTTTAGGGTCTGAAAAATCGGATAAAAACGAAAGTAAAAGTACTGCGATGTGATGTAAAAACGAGTAACAACTCGTTACACGTAGATGTACTGAAAAACGAAATGAAGTATTGTAACAAAGTAAATGTACTTTGTTATACCAAAACGCTGGTCCAGATACCTTATTAACTCGCTCAAAATAGATACATATTGTTGGTTTTAACAACACGATACAACCAGGTATGGCGGGTTAATATTTATTATACTTTAATTCATAAAAAGTAAACCCAACTTCAAGCATTTGATGTTCTTTTAATAGAATATATAAAAATATGCAAATTAAAATTAAAATTTCTAATAAAAATGTCTGTATTTTTATGAAAAATATAATTTAATGTGTTAAAGGGTATTGTAAACGCCCCTCAACTCAAGAGCTTTTGATACACCCTTTATATATATTTACTGTCCTTTTAACGCCTTCTTTTTGATAGCAGGTTGTATGCATTTTTATAAAAATTGCTAAGGTTATGACATTTTAAGTTAAGAAAAACCGATAGTTTAGTCTCATTAGTTTCATGAACAAATTCATCGAAGATACGTTACTTAAAAAGTCGTAGAATTGTTTGATTTTTATAACTTTTTAACCTTTAAAATAGTGTATTCAAGCTCTTTTTAATAATGTATAATATAACATATGTGATAGGCTTCTTTCAACTGGAATTTTTCCATTTTTAAATTAACTTGCATTCATCGTGGTTCTTTTTTATTATATACTTGAATCTGTAGACTTATACCAACACAGTTGTATCAGTAACTAATAACAGTTCATTTGAGATTTTATGCGTTAATTGAAGTATTTGCTTTTTAGCACTAGCATACATAGTAGCCTTCAAAATCATTAGCTTTCAGTTTTTAAAGAAACGATCTGTTAAATAGATATCAAAAAACAATTTTGAAAAATTAAGGATTTTTTTCCCTCAAAAAAACTTATATTTGTATAGTTGATTGTGAAATAATTTGGTGCGTTTTCACATGTCCGCGCTAGCAATGAAAACAAAAACATAAAAATTTTTGAACAATTAAAAATTTAATAAAAAGTTATTTTTTCTAATTTTTATTAAATCTTTTATTGTTATAAAATATTTAATAAAAATAAAATAAACTTCCGTGTTGCTTTTGTTAAAGTTGTTATTTTATATATATATATATATATATATATATATATACATATATATATATATATATATATATATATATATATATATATATATATATATATATATATATATAAGCAGCAAGTTAATTTAATATTTTTTGTACTATTTTCAACTAGACTTAGAGTAAAACAGGGTAAAATGAAATAGTTATGACAATGTTTATTCTTTCGCTCTTAACTAACTATTGAATGATTTTTTTGCAAATATTTTTTGATTATATTGTAGAGACTATTTTTCTGAGTAAGATTGTAAAAAATTTTATTTTTAATAAAAATAATTTTGTTATAAATTTATTAGCATTCGAATGCGTAATAAGATTTTTTTTATTTGTTTGAAAAGGGAACTTAAAACTCTCGGAAATTAAATTCAGTATCATTGAACTTAAAATGTTTACTGATACAACTTTTTACGCTGATCAAGAATCTTTTTTCAAAATTAAATTTGCTATTTAGGAAAAAAAAATTATGAGTTAAAAACAGAAATGGAGTGTTGTGGGGATGAACGAAATACGTTAATAAAAAAATAAATAAGAAGTAATAGCTTATTTCTTAAAAGCAGCCTTTTTTTATTAGGTCTCAAGTGACTAACAAATCTCCAACAATAAATTTATTGTATAAATTTCAATGAACGAATTCTTCTAACTGAATTTAAATGACTTTTACTGCTTTTATAAAATGGTTCTAATAAAGGAATGAAATACGCTGGTTATTCTCTTGTTAATTGCGGTCACCTTGTCTGCAAATAACCTTCAACATTGTAGTAACTCCGGCTATTCAAAAGGAAATTCAAAAAGAGGTTACAAAACAACTGCAATCAGCCTAATAACTTGCAGCAGCTTTGCAACAAATATTTTGTATCCAACAGATTGACACATTGAAAAAGTGTAAATGTGCCAAGATTCGAAGGGGAGTGTCTCAACAAA